GACACAAAGAAAGGTGAACCCAACTTAATGGCTTTTGTTTTCTATTTTCTTTCTTGATTCAGGATAGAAATGAGCAAAAAGCGTGAGAGCTTCATTTAGGGTAGGTTTTTATTGTTTCTTTTTTCATTCGTCGAGCTTATACATGAGGTTATAAAGTTTTCACGTAAAATGATTAGTGTTTTGGTTCCTAGGTGAGTTTCTTTCTGTTTCTTTTTTTTTCTTCGTTGTTTGAACTCGACTTGTAAACTATAAATGTTTTGGAAGTTGGAACAGTTCAGACGATACTTTTAAGGCGCTTGTATAAATGAAACAATAAAAACAAAAAAGTGAAACCTCCTTACCTCATATTCCAGATCCGCTTATGTATAGAAAGTCGTAAGTTATCAGTTAGTAGCCATTATTAAGAGAAAAGAAGGTCTCACAAGTTGGATTCCCTTATTTATCAAGCGAGCGGTCCATAATAGGGGCGCGCTCTGCCACGTACCGACGATCGCGGCGATCGCCGAGGTCGCCGCGATCGCCGCTGCTGTCGCGAAGTATGAACGCTAAGGCACGATACTTGCCGAGAAATAATAGCAGGGGTGCTATATTAAGTGAATATGAAGAAAAAGGGAAGTTGAAAAGCCGAAAGCCTGCGAAAAAACCTTTGTTCTACACGGCATTGGGCAAATATTTTTGGACGAGTTTCCCTTTGGCATCGATCCAACATCCGCTTTGGTAGATACGCCTGCACATATGCATTCATATGTGCATGTAGCAACGCGTCGATGTGAATATGCCGTGAAAGTGCGGCCATTTGAGGGTGGCGCTTGCGATGGGCGCTTGGGTCAGCATGTTGCCTTGTTTAGGCGCTAAAACGATGCCCTTGGTTGGAAAAGGAGCCACGCAGCGCATGCCAAGGCGCAAATAATTTTTTCGTGCTAGGCATGTCGACCCAGTACGCCTTAACAATTTTTCGTGCCACTTGCCTTCACGACGTTCGGATGCTCACACCCTCTGTAGTCCTTGCACCAAGTACGTTTACACCAGGAGGACGTGATATTGATTCGCCCTGGTCAAAGTGATGGGCCCGAGAATTGTCCAGGGATCCTGCCACATCCAGCGTGTCCACGGCTTCTAAAAAAGATGCTTCCTTCTGCTTATCGTTCTTTAGGCAGTAAATGTGATGTTTCGAAAGGGCAAAATTAAAGTAGCTGTATCTTGATGATTTCATGAAGGATATAAACCAAACAGAACATACGTTTTCAAACAGTCTAGCTTCTTTTTACAGCATGGATGAAAACTAATGGTCACATGAAAGGTGGTGGCAAGTTAAAAGGTGAAGAAGGCGGACAGTACTATCAAACATATGCGAACTACTTCATAAGGTTATTTTTCAACTCTCACTTCACTCGCCTCAAAAAATCAGTTGAGTAGAAGCTATGTGATAAATGCGGACTTTGCTGGAGCAAGCTGGCCGCGCTGCAAATAGTGCAACAGGGAGTGGAGGGCAGCGGACTTGAATGAGCACTGGCTGAGTTTGCGGTATCAGCCAAGGTTGTCCCGAAACACCTCCTACTGGTGAGAAAGAGACAGCATATACCCCAAGCAAGATTTGTTCTCTCTTGAGGCTGATGGCATTACTGGCCTCTTTATGTGACATTAGACTTTTCATTTGGTAAACAGCATCCATTTTATCGTATTTCCCGCAGAGTGTGCAAACGCCCGCGGCTCAAAAACTGTGAGTTGTGCCGCTCAAATACTAATGATAACTCGAAAGTAAAGAAAAAAAGCAAAACAAAATCATTGGAAGTGTCTCCTATAGAACTACACGTTGGGCCTGCTGTGCATAGTGCGAAGAAAAGGCGTGATGGGACGAGTTTTCACTTGTTGGTGACAGTTATTTCTCCTTATTACCTCGCTGGTCACCATGGAAAGAGACGAGCTAAACAACACGTAACAACATAGTACGACAACGCTAGCATATTAGCAAAGTAATTGATCGAACCATCATGGTACGCAGTTAAAAATGAAGGGTGGGCGTTGGCAACCCGTTCGCAGCGGAGCCGTGGTTCCCGCTTTTCTTCACGTGTTTTTGAGTTGCGAAAGTAGTAGAGAGCAGGGTTCAGCATCGCGATGCTGTGAAATGTGGTGTTACCGCCGACAATGTCTCAGTAATGACCCCTCCACCATAGTGAGGGGTATCGCCGATCGACCCTACATCCTTTGCCAGACCCTACACTTACGATTTCCACATTTTTCAGATTTTCATCTAAAAATTTTCCGTCTAGCGAGAGGGGGAGATCAAGAGCAGGAAGAATCACGCCAAAAGCCAACAACCAGAAAAAAATTTTTTCCCAAGGCAGGCAAATTTCTCTTGAGGGCGGATACGGCTCTCCCCTCTCCCAACGACCATATACGGCCCCACTCCCCAGCGGAAACGTACGACACCCTGTTCTGCACAACGACGCTGTACCTTGGTAGAGAAGCACCCTCCATGCCTACGTACAGAATACCATGTCTAAAAAAGGCGTCTGCGCATCAAACAAAGGCGAAGCGTGACTCAAATGCAACATACCGTTCTCCTATCTATTACAGCTCACAGTTTTTGAAGTTTGCTGAAACAAAACAGTGCTAAATGACCTCCACTAAGGCACAATTCTTATCCCAGTAAAGAGGAGGCGTGAGCCGGAACAGCTGTCTCCACTAAGCGCTGCGGGTCCAGGATGGTATCAATAGTAAAAAGTTGCCACCGTGGCTGCGCTCCAATCCGCTTCCCCTCCCCCTCCCAAACCCTCCCCTTTGCAAGAATAGTGCACAACAAATGTGCACAAGAAAACTCAAGAAATCTCAAGCTAGAGTACGTTATTGGACAAATGCCAATGGCAAGCACAGATTTCTCTATACACGACTCTACACAATTTTGCAGGTTTTTTGAAGAGTATCATAAGAACGGAGTGGACTTCTGGGGTGTAACAGTGCAAAACGAGCCAATGTCAGGACTCAATCCAGATTATGGCTGGCAGACGATGTACTTCAGCGCGGCAATGGAGAGGTAAGGGTAGCTGAGTAGCACTATCTCCTTCCAACATATTCTAAACAGCTGAACAGCTCGCATGACCATGCTGAAAATGGAGCAGCTTGGCGAAAATGAGTTAACTAAAACCTTGAATCTTAAGAATGATTTTCTCGGGGACTCAACCTCAGGTTTTGACAAGGCCAAGTGGACTGGTTAAATCCTCTAAACCCTTCCGTCTCATGGTCAGGCAGCGGATACTGCCTCAGTTAATTCATCAATATATCTCAAACTAACTGTTTTATTCTTCCGTGCCAGGTTCCTAGAGACAGGAATTTTTCAGAGACTTTATAAAAAATTTGCTCGGACCTGCACTGAAAGCCTCGCCCTACACGAAAGATATTTCCCTAATGATCAACGACGATCAACGTTACAATCTCCCTGGATGGGCAGATACTGTGAGCGTTTGAAATCACACAATTTGATAAAAATATTCCTATTGCTTGGTATTCTTGCAGATACTGAACGATGCTGATGCAGCAAAATACGTGGCCGGTATTGGTGTTCATTGGTATGCAGACTATGAAGTGCCAGTGGCTGTTCTGACGGCTACACATGACCGACATCCTGACTACTTCATACTCGGCACTGAAGTGAGCCTATCATCTGATACTTTCGAAAGCACATTCTATGCTAATCATACTGGCAGGGAACGCCTAGCATTGATCCTTCCTCAGTGGAAGGCTCGAGCCTGCCGAGAAGCTCGAAAGATGCGGTCCAGCTAGGAGAGTACAATACCAAAGCGATCGCGCTTAGGTTACATTCATACTTTGCGGCGTGCCCACTAGCGATCGTCAGCGCTCACCAGCGACCATCAGCGTTTCGAGGTTCTGTCAGCGTCAGCAACTAAGAAAGTAAGAAAGAAGAAAGTCTAGATATCGTTCTAGCGTTCTAGTTCTGGTAAGAAAGTCTAGATATCGTTCTAGCGAACGGCAGTTTCCACCAACATCTACCAGCGTTAGCGAGCGATCACCAGCGTCTCGAGAAACTAGGTATGAATATCGATCTAGCGTTTACCAGCGTCTACCAGCGACCAGGACGGTATCGTGTAATGGCGCGGTGCGGTTGCACACGCCACAATTCCACCGCGCCTAATCCAGCTGTCCCATCCCTGCTCGTTCGCTAGACCGATAGCTGTACTTTCCTAGCTGCTGACGCTGACGGAGGCTCGGAAAGCTGATCATCGCTGGTGGACCCTGCCGCAAAGTATGAACGCAGCCGTTAAGTGTCAACGCTGAATGAGCCGTCTTTGACGACTGCCAGTTTTTCGTTTTGGAATCAACTTGATTACGTTCAGTCCATGCACCCGCCTTGACCCGGGTTCAAGATCACTTGGGAGCCTGCGACTGCGATCGACATTCCATGAACCTCGGACCCTTTCATCTCACTGTGGGCACTTCCCGATAATGTCTTCGATACGACCCAGCTACTGTTAGCTGAATAAAA